TCATTAATTTTGGGATTTAGCCGACCTCCAACATTTGAAACTTTCCTTTGTGTACACATTCGAGTGTGTGAAAGTATGAGAATACATGAAAATTCGTGCGAGATTCACTTAATTCGAATTTCATGGTAACGTACATTTCAGTCACGTACATTTCAAATGATCACTTTTCATGTAAAAAATAATATTTAATTGTGTTAAGCAAAACGTCTTTGCCAGTTTACAGGATACAAGGGGTTGCTTATTCAGAGTCGTCTAATATTTTCTACTTAATATATAATCTTAATGGAAGAATATAGGTAACGTACATTTCTTTCTAATCTCTACGATTGAAAATGTCTTTCATTCCGTAAACATATTTATAAAAGTTGCTCAATTTGTTCTATTTCATGTTACATTATCTAAGTAGGAGTAATTAATCCTTTGAAATTTCAAATTTAACCCATCAGTAAATAAAGGAGAACAAAACTATCAGGTGTATAATCTTTGTGTTTGCTTGTAATGTGGTTGAAATAGAATTAAGCGACAGGGACATTGCACAATAAAAATTATTTATTATCACAAAGAAAATGTATTTATTGTTATGAAAAGAAAGATATATGATACAAGGTTTAACTTATCAGAAAATTTTTACTTGAGAATCAAAACTATATATTACACAGAGGGGATTCAGCATAATATTTGCCTCGGCGACAGTAACGTACATTTCAAATAGGCTACTATATTTGAATTTGGAACTCCTTAAATACCCTTTCAGATCGATAATTATTTGAATTCTTATTCATTGTTATATGACTATTTATAATGTTGATTTAAAAATTACATCAGTTGTATTTCTTCTAATTAAGGAATGACTCTAATTCTTGGCCATATTATCGAGTATAATCTGGTTTGGGTCAGTTTACGCTTTATAATCCGCGAAGCGGATTATAAAAAAGCGTAAACTGACCCAAACCAGATTATACTCGATAATATGGCCAAGAATTAAAGTCATTCCTTATAATTTAATTTTAAATTAATTAAACAACTTTGGATGTAAAATTGTGTTGCTTTTTACGAGTTCAAATTTACCGCGCAATAATACAACCGTAGCAACGGAAGTGATGTGAAGCGAGGGGAGGTAATAACTGATACATGGATCTAGCAGCCATGATGTGTGTTTACATGAGGTAAGATCGAGTAATTGTATAAAGTTGAAGGTACATTTATTAAATCTGGAATTTTCCATGGATTCCGAGGACTGGAAATGAGGGGATTGCATGGATATGATGATTAAGCTGGTCGTCAAGGGGGTGTGTCCCCATACCAAACCAGATTATACAAAATGTTATGCGTTCCTTTTTGGAAATCAACCAATGAGAGGCGAGAATACAAATAAAATTAAATTATATGAAAATAAGGCGACATTATTTGAGCCCTTGTATTGAGAATGGGTGTTTAGTCACCTTTAATTCATTAGAGGGCATTATTGTGAAACATGACGTCACGCCCTCCCTGCAACACGTGAAAATTCGCTCACCCAACCCTACCATCAATATATGATTTTACCTTGAATAATATTTTGGATATTCAAAGTACTTGTACTTTTAGGCTGTAAAAGTTGAAGGAATTTCTTTCCAATTGTCTTCGGCTTGTTTTTGAATATTTTTCAAATTGAAACCCTGCTATGAGAGCCACCTCTTTGTCACGGCTGCTGATTACTATTTGCTAATCTAATTAAATTATAAGTACATTATAGAAAATAAGAAATTCAGCAACTTATTCCTACCACACCAACAACAGAATTTTCTTATAAAATATATGACGCGTCTTTTGCTTTGTATATCTGGTGGATACTCCCTGATGTGATTAAGAACGACAGGTAACTGTGAAAGAAATATTTATCAACAACCACAGAATTTATGGTACGTCAGTTTATTTATCTACAAAGTGGTAAATTTCATTATCTACTTAGTATTCACTGTTCAATCACAAAAAATAATAATAATAATTAATTCGGTGAACCTGCACTTCTAATTGAGTAGTGATCTGAATTTCAGGCTTCTTGTTGCACCACAACATGAGAAACTTTTCTCAAAAGAAATAATCTCCAAAGGGAAGTAAAGCAAGCAACCAACGAACCAAACTGTTTATTACACGCAGTTACTATATAGTATGTCTTGAGAGATAGTCAATACAAATCTATAAATGAAAACTAAGAAATTTCAGGTCAAAGACTGAAATGAATGACGTCACCTCAAATATAGTATAAATAAGTCCTCCAGACATGTCACCTTCTGAATAAAGATAATAAAAGATAATGTTATGCATGTAGGAGAAAGAGTTTCTGACTGGAAGATAGAACGACACTGGGTTTTCGTGAGAATAGTTTATTAAGAAGATAAAACCTGGTATATGCTGCTCAATGTTTCCATCCTATATCCTGGACAAACAGACACAAATACCACCAAACACAATAGTTCACTGGTAAGACACTCAGAATGAACAGTTAATACGGTGCTACAGAATGTGGCCTCGACATACTCGTCTGCAGATAAAATCTTAAGTGCATTCAGAATGCAAGATAATGTAGACCCTGATTTATTTAGACCATTGTATCGACTTCCGTGTGAACCCGAATTAATGCCATTGTTCATGAATGTTAGCATCCCGACAGAAATAGACAACAAAACGTGCAGTGGAAAAGTACGATGGCCGATATCAGCCATGACAGTTTACATACAAATTTAAGGGTAGCGTGTCAGTGAATTGTTTCACATGGCAGTCTAACCTTAAAGCAGTGGCAAAATGTACAGGCTGTCATTCCGTGATGTCAAGTTACTGTGGCATGATATACACTTTGCTTTTCGTAAAGTGTACAGCGTGTTCATACAACTTTGCTTGATGGCACTTTACCCTTAAGTGCAATTAAAATACTTTATATCCAAAAAACAAATAAATGAATAAATTAAAAAAAGATAAGATCAACCAACCAGCATGGGAAACTATTAACATTGAGGAAGTGCAGTTTCTGAGACTTTATTGTGGTCGCCATCGGGGTCAAAATGATTATTAACATATGCGTATATCCAATTTTGTGTTACTTAACTTTAACTTATTGGTGATATACATGTATGAACCTTTAACTATGTAGTATAATGTATTTTAATTAACCTTAAACACGTGGCTATATATCTGCTGCCTAATCTATTTATGTATTTATTACATAATAAAATATGTTCAAATCTATCGTCCTGAGTGTCGAGTAAAGGTCAGCTTTTGAGCCCATCACCGGTATATTGTGACTTCATTATATGAGTGAAAAATGTTTGAATGGATAGTATAAAATCAATCATTCAATCAATCACATTATCATTTCATTCCTTTGAATTTTTTTTCACAAAGCTTTCAAGTTACGTTTTGATAAAAGAAAAATGGATGACGAAATGAATCCTTAGAATACTAAGAGGGTAGATAACACCTGCAAAGCATAGCCATATTACAAGAAGTCAAGAACTTTAGAAAACTCGTTATTTTTGTTTATTTTAAAATCTTTAATTGTTTTAGGGGGGAGGGGGCATTCACTTGGCAGAGGTGTAAGATATTATTCAGATCGCGTACTTTTGTAGCTGTTCAAAGGACCTTTTGGGGGGAGGCATGAGTGATATACTATAAATATCCTTACTTTCACAAAAAATCATTTTATAGTTTTACACAAAGTTAACGTTTATATATGTTAATATAATTCTATATGTTTGTAATCGGCCCCAATCGCAACCGAAATAAATGTCTCAGAAACCGACCTTTCTCAATGCTAATAGTTCCCCCATGCTGGTTGGTTGATCTTATCTTTTTTTTATTTATTCATTTATTTGTTTTTTGGATATAGAGTATTTTAATTGCACTTAAGGGTAAAGTGCCATCAAGCAAAGTTGTATGAACACGCTGTACACTTTACGAAAAGCAAAGTGTATATCATGCCACAGTAACTTGACATCACGGAATGACAGCTTGTACATTTTGCCACTTTGCTTTAAGGTTAGACTGCCATGTGAAACAATTCACTGACACGCTACCCTTAAATTTGTATGTAAACTGTCATGGCTGATATCGGCCATCGTAGAAAAGCCTGTGTAGTGGAAAATGACCACACGGGGATGCGGCCTGGTAGAGAGACAAAAGCTATCAACATTGAATGTATCTACAAGGAGGCCTAGCCTCGCACGTTTTGTTCTGCCACCGTTCAAAGAGTTAATTTTCACGATCCCATGGTCCTTACAACTTTCAGACAGTAGTTCGTTTGATGTAAAGCTCAGGCAATTGTCACATAATGTTTACAAAAGACACAAATAACTGAAATTCTAAATTTTGAACACGATCTACTTTCTTTCGAGGCATGTCAACATCAACGGTGCTACGTCATCAAAGTTATACGTCATCAATTTAAATTAGCAATCATTCATGTAGTTTTGCAGGGGAAGTCTCATAGTTTTGATAAAACGAAAGTCGTATGAGATTAATAGAACATCTATAATTGTGTGATTTAATATTGGCTTTATCCAACTCGTTAGAATGGTGTATATTTGCTCGGCAAGCCTCGCGAATATATACACCATTTCAACTCGTTGGATAAAGCTAGTATAAAAAAACAAAATATAGACATCCTCTATTTATTCAATAGAAGTTTGCTTAAAAACCGTCTTTTCGCGTTTTTCCAATTTGTACAGTCACCATTCTGACAGCTTCATGTATGACAGGTGTATTTATTAATTCTTGCACTAGTGAGATTTCTTGTATGCAGCATTGTTGGTTAATCCAATGACAATTTAGACCGATGTTGGTTCCTCATTCCTATTTTGTATAGATATACAATCTGAATTTTAAAAAAATAAAATATCTTTTATATGCATCGATCTTATTTTCAAACCAATATGCATTTTTGTGACTTGGCTTCAGCAATTGACACAATGATACTTTGAAAAGTTCAGATGTTTTATTCATTTTAATAAAAAAATTGGAGATCATTGTATAAATCTTCAAATATCATTCTACAAAAGAAATGTATAAATGTGAACATAATGAAAGCTTGATTATTACTTATGATTAATTGCACATGTGAATCAGCTCAACTTAATAGTTCTTCTTTCCCAGGTCCATTTCTGAAGCGGACTTTGTGAGCAATTGCGTACCACAACTATTCCATTGTTTTTGTCTAGTTCTATGCATGCATTATTGATATAACTTTTAATAAAATTTTCCTGAAAAAAAAATATAAATATTAAAATTCGCATTTGATTTTTGATAGGTGCCATCGGCCAGTGTAACACTTAACAATTTAAATTTTTTTGAAAGTTAACAGGTTTAGAATTTTAATATACAAGCATTAGTTCAAATATCTAGATCTCAAAACACAAAAAGAAAAAAAAAACTGATTTCGTATTTTGAAATTTAAATGTAAATTATAAATGTTAAAATTGTTATCCTCGAGACATTTAAAAAAAAAATGAAAAATACGTGTTACACGGACCTTTTGAATTTCAAAATTTCTTCTGTGTTAGACGTTTTCTCACAAGATCAATGATACGGAATTTAACGAAATCAGAACTATAGAAGAAAGAGTACCCGTGTGTATTCCCACTGTAGATATTTGCTGAGCGTTGTACATGGTCCCACTAATACACTGTTTATACCATTATACACCAGACAACCTTCGTCTCTTCTAATGGTGTTCTCACGTGTCAATGTCCAATGCTGATGAATAGCAATTTTTTCATGTTTCATAGTTATAGAACATTGCAATACATGTAATTAACTCATTTAACATCCAGAAAAAGCAACTTTTTTTCAATTTTAAGCTGGGATACAAAATATCAACCATATTTAAACTACAAGGATTGAAAACAAGTAGTTATATCATTTGTTAAAAATAAAATCTGTTGAAGAAATTTTTATTCATTTTTTTATGGTATTCTTTGAAATACCTGCGACATTCCTACAGGAACACATCCTTTGACAGAAACAGGTTTCCCAAAGAAGTTTCCACTGGTATAGGAGTCTATACACATATTGTTAATCTTTACCTAAACAAAAATTCGTAATTTTACTTCATTGTTTGTTCGTAAATCATAACACATTAATGATGAAATTTTACATTTAAATCAGTATTACATTGTATTTCTTCCAAATTATAAAGATTTTGACTTTTTAAGGAAATTAGCAATATTTTTCTCGCTTTTTCTGACATTGGGGAATTTCACTTTTCATCATGTTTTCTGTATTTCTTAATGTCACGTGTTACCTGACCAGTGGCTTTACACCCGTATGGGACATACAACTCTGGATACACGTGTTTAATGTACCAGTCAAATGATTTACATTGTAGTCTTTCTCTAATGGCCTTCCTCTCTGACACGTCTCCTATATTAACCTGTAATTAGACAGTCATAACAATAAAATCTCAGAATCCTATAAATAATTAAGTCAGCCGTCTTGAAAATCTAAGTGAATTAACTGAATACAAATGGTACATCGCAGTGGTGTAATAAAATCCAAAATTCCAGCAACACTAGGGATCTAAAGCTTCATACAGTTATCTTTCTTTTTATGTTCAGTTTGACCTAAAAATATTCTTTGAGTATGCTTCTACCTTCCAAAGCACTTTTGCCATATAATGGTTAAGAGAAATTACAATTCACAAAGAAATTTTAAGCTGAAAAAA